CCGTTCCAAGTGGACCCAGTTAGATACCAACCCCTACTATGCGAATTAAAATAAAAAGAAAGCATTAGGCCGCTGTAGGGGATTTGGTACCTCAGTCTGAGAAATGCTGCTGCATAATATTCACTCTTCATCATTTATAATGTATGTGGAGCCTTTCGGAAGCTTTCATATTTGGGCTGTGGGCTGAACAATGAGGGAACCAGGGATCAGTTCCTGGCAGGGGTAGGATATTTTTCTCTTCTCCATAGTGTCTAGACTTGCAGACTGGCTGGAAGGGGGAGGGGAGGTAGGGAGGGCATTAAGCTTACCACTCACCTCCATGTAGTGCCAAAGTTAAGAATGGTGGAGCTATACCGCCACTCTCCCATTTGTCTTATTGAATTCGTGCGTCATTAATTAGGTACAGGGACATTCTTACCTTTACCTTAACCTTTGTTATTCAGACATCAGTTTCATCATGGGAAAGACAGTTAAATTTACAGGTTCTATTAGACCTATGGGCTATAATTTGCCCAAATGTAGAGCAGTATGTGCTTTTGCATGTTGATACTCTGAATGATTTCCTACCTTTCACATCTTCTGTGATACAATGTACTGATATTTATTTATTTATTTCGTCTCTATAGATCATTGTTATATGACGTAGGACAAGTCAGTTACTGTACATTGGCTGATTACAATAAGAGAATAAAGTTACAGTACTTACAATTGTTTACAATAGATTACAATAGCTGAGTTCATATAGTGTGAGGTGGAATCCATATTAGGTCCCCTCGGCACATTGGCTTCCATGTGTCCTATTGTATCTGTACTGGTGATGATGCTTATGGAGAATTTGATGGAATGAGGACTGGCAAGGGAAACCGAAGTACTCGGGAGAAATTATAACAGATGAAACATTTATTCTCTAAAACAGTACATTATATAAGAGAAACAAACAAAACTGAACAGTTGATTTTTTACATTTATTGTAATTACAGTATTATTATTAATATTCTATAGCTTGTAATTTTTATGTACTTAGAATGCTTTCAGTTTGTTGCCTGTCATGTTATCAGAGAAATATGCACTGCTTAAAAGAGTGTTGTATTGTGAAATAATGGAATTGGAGTCATGAAATTTATGAATGCAGTGAAAATTCAGTTTTACACTTTGAAGAGGCCTTTTTAAATTTAATGAAAATGAAGGAAATGAGAGTGATACAACACAATTAAAAATGCAAGGTGCTTCATACCTTAACTCTGGAAAGCCATTTAAGATATAATAATAATATCATAATAAGAAAGTCTTATTAAAAAACGTCATAAACTGAAAAGAATTTAACTCCAAAAGAATTTTGCTCAGAATACTTGGAGTTACAAGAAGAATCTCTGTGTGAAGTGGAAACATTCCACAGAAACTTGGAGAAGACAGTACGGGTTGTGAAACTGAAGAAGCAGTGAGTGTCAATTCATTGTCTACCCAGAGCAGCAATGAAATATTGATACTCAATAATAAAGAAGCTTGGAAGGGCCTAAGGAAATGATGAAAGGACCAATAGTGTGCTTTCCTTCAGAATGGGGAAGGTAATACTGGAACCCTGTAAGGGAGGATAAAAGGATAATAATACTGTCTGATTTAAAATAGAATATTCTCATTCTGTAATGTTAGCAAACATGTTGATAATATTCTATTGCACTGCTGCTTGGGACAAACTGCCCCTTGCACTAGTTTCGCTAGTTTCTTGTGAAAATGCTTTGACTTCATGTATATGAATTTTCAGTCATCAAGGGAGCTATCAGAAATTCTATTAAACATTTCTCTTGATCCATTTTATAAGAATTTTATATCCTTATTATGAAAGTGATAATAAAATTTGAAAAATTACAGTGCTGTTTACCATAGTTTGGCTCTCACATTATGTACGTGTAAAACACACAACTGTTCCATCATTAATGCTCTTTGCAGTTGTACAGGATGAAATTTTAGAGTAACAGACTTATAAACATGAAAATAAACTTCTCTGTTTGCATGTAGAGTTTATGGATAACTAAATGACAATTAACTACACAGCAAAGTGAGGTTAGGATGAGCAGAAAGGCACAAGCATTTGATATTTCATAATATCAGTCCTCACCAGCCTCAGTAGAAGTGCTTTGTTTTTTCTTCCTGTCTCCTCACAGACTTTAATAGCGTTATGATGCTGTGGTGACTCATAACTTCTTTGATTTGGCTTCTTGTTCTGAAAGTGTATTCTCATTTCTAGTCACAGGGGAATCATGGGAGTGTATTAGAATTTTTGAAGTGACACATAATCCACAAGTCCATTGAGGAACACATTGTTAGTGTAATAAATGTTCAGCTACAGCTCAAATTCCACCTTACCTTAGAAATTTGCAAGGTTTCATAAGTCATTCTTCAGCTGCTGTAACCCTGAAGCATAGTGATGCTTACAGTTCCAAAAACAGTGCTCCTCAGAACATCTGAACAGGAGTGATGGTCAGACTGAAAGCTTATAAATGAATGTGAATTGTGGTACAGATGAAGTAATATATATGTCAAATGTAAGGGTACCATAAGCTGACCTGGAGCTCCTATGCTGAAGGACTGTTATGGAGAAGGTTAACTCAACTTGAGACTTGTCCCTATCAGACGATTCCTGTTATGAAGTTGTGGGCCATTCCTTGGATAGCTTCCTGTGTAACAGGACACTTGGAGTAGATGACACTGCAGTCTCTGTCTTTTCTGCCATTGTGAATGGCCTCTTGAAATGCTGTTCCTTGCACTAATCTTTCTAACAGAGTGTTGCTGTAACATTTTACACACAGGATCTTATTGAATGTATGCGAAATATATTATCATCTACTATAGAAACACAGTTGTCATGTTAACATAATAGAGGACATTCAGCCAGATCTCTTTAGGCCACTTTATGGGCTTCAATAAGAGTGACAACAGTGTAAGTAAACATGTGTATCTCTAATGCATGTGTGTACATGTGTGCATGCAAGAATAGTGGTCTTTCCAGAACTTCTCAAATTACTGAGGGTAGATATATTAAAACTATTGAGGTTAGATATATTTGACAATTTTTAAAAATTTCCTGTTATGATTTCAGTGGGCTTCATTCCAGTTCCACATATAATGTTCCTTAACAGGGTATCCCATGTAGGATTCATGATTTGAAAAAGTGGCAATGGAATAGGGCTTCTTGAGGCATTTTGGTATGCTAGAGGTTAGTAGAGCCCATTTGAGGATATGGCACAAAGGCACTGAGCCTGACCTTACTCCTGCTAACAAAAAGAGGCTTACCTGGCTATTCCATCAATTATCTTATCCATACTGCCCCCTTCACCTGTTGTCACTTTTGAGGCAGCAGATCTGACAATCCAGCAGACCATCCTCTGAATGCAGACAGACGTGTCAATGTTATGATCCAAAAGGGCCTTGTCCATACGGGACAAGAATCCAGACTTCCTTCCACCACCTTTGTTGCCTTCACAAACATAGGGTTACATTACAACTGAGAAAGGAATGTCTAAACTATCTAATGTTGTAATTAATTAATTAATTCATTCATTCATTTATTGT